TTTCCACAGGCTTTCTAGAACATACATCTGATTGAAAGAATTGTTGTCAGGAATTTATATGCCACTATCACTCAGCTAAGCTGACAATGTGATCCTTGCCTCCAGACTAACCCCAAAAATACCCCAGGCCAAAACTCAGTCAGATTGAGAGAGGCCACGGGCCTGTACAGCAGTGGCAAATTAACTTTTCAGAACTCCCAAGGAAAGGGGCATATCATTATTTACTAGTATTGATAGATACATTTTCAAGGTGACCAGAAACATTCCCCACCAGAACTGTCAAAGCTCAAGAGGTGCCCATAGTATTGTTACAAGAAATAATACCACACTTCAGAGTTCCAGCCACAATATCCTCAGATAAAGAATCACATTTCATTTCCAAAATAGTGCAACAGATTAGTAGCCACCTGGGCATAGATTAGGAACTTCAAACTCCATACCACCCCCAATCAAGCGGCCAGGTGGAGAGAATGAATCATTTGATTAAGCAGCAAATCATAAGACTGGGGCAAGAAGTTCATCTACCCTAGCCCAAGCTCTTCCACTGGCACTATTGTGAATTCGAACTAAACTTTGAGCTAAAAGAATGCTGAATCCTTTTGAAATGCCTTATAGAAGACCATATGGAATACAAAAGGAAGGTCCACCCACATTAGGGTGATAACACTGGCCACCTACATGGTGGCTTTAAGCAAATAACTCAGACAAATTGAGAAACATGTGGCTGGAACTCGGAGCAGGGAGTTAGACAGCCTGGGGATGATGTATATGTTAAGTCTCTTACAGAGAAGATTTTGGAACCACAGTGGGAGAGACCGCTGCAAGTACTTCTCACCACCTTCACTGCAATCAAAATCAAAGAGCAGAATGCCTAGATCCATCACTCTCGATTGAAGAAAGCCCTAAAGTCCCTTGGAGAGTGACACCAGTGACACCAGAAGACAATGAACTGAGATTAAAACTTACTCGGGCAAAATGAGTATATTGCAGTCGGGGGTAGCTCATACTTTAGTTTACAGAATTGTTTTGTATGTAATTATAACTGAAGTTTCAGAACTAGAGAGTACCTCTATCCGAAGCAATGCTGAATGGCCTTGGTCCCAGGCTTTTAGTCAGAATACTGGATCCATGAGTGAACTTCCTGAGATAAAAGATTTAAACGTATCTACTGTAGTAATCCACGGGAATCGGGTATATGAGAAGCAAGAATGGCAGGAATGAGAACTGTGGGCACTTCAAAGAATCAGAGGAGAAGAAATCAAAGTAAGGTGCCAGGTCATCAATAACACGGCTTATGAGAGACCAGATGCAATTAGTGACTCAACCTCTCCTGGTGTATACGAATACCAGGAAGTTTGTGATAGCCTAAGTCAATCAGACTGTTGGTGTAATTTCACCTTAATACAGCCTGTAGAAGTGACCTACCTTTTAGCTCGAGTTGCTATCAGACTTTCATTTAAATTCAAAGTAGACACTGCACTTTTTACAACAGCAGGGCCTTATACAACCCATACTAGGACTCAAATAGTTCAGACTCTACGCAAACTTGAACCTAAAGTGTATGAAATAGGCCCCTACGTAGTAAAGAATGTAAGAGAACAACAACTATTATTCAATCCAGAATGGTCTCTCAAAAGTGTTGAGTTGCTAATGCAAATTAACATCTCAAAAATCCAACCAGACTGCTCCTCCTTCCTAAAAACATCCTTTGAAGGCTAGACAACGAAGTTACAAAGACAACTATATCTCCAGAGCAGAATAAGAAAAGATCTAACTGAGATATTAAGGACAAGATTAACAGTTTTAACTGGAATTGATTCAAAAATACTGATGAATAAACTGGCCACTGCAGCAGGTAGCCTAACAAAATTGAAGCAGCCTTTACAGTCATCTCTATTGGCATTAGGAACTAGCCAGTGGCAGATTTCAAAAGTACTGCCAAAGTAAGAAAGTACGAAAAAGCCGGGGACCAAGACCACAAGTTAATAGCAAAAGCACTTAGTATAGTTCAGGATAATGTGTCTTTAGCTTTCAGTTGTATACAAGCACAGTTATAAATGCAAACAGCAGCTCTGATCATACGGGATATGGGTGAAAGTAGTTTTCCAGCTGAAATTTAGAAAATTGTTTGAGATAATGCAATTGATTTTGAAAGGAAGTTTCAGTCCTGGTGGACTATGGTGAATTTCACTTATGATCCTGCTTCTAATGTGGCCACTGCCTTTGTGCTTACCATATGTAATGCCACTGTTTATGTTATCCATCCCATCATTGCACTAAGATTAAACCATGAAAAAACAATACCCTTCAGAACCAAGTGTGGGCACAAAAGATGAATGAAAAGTGGCAGACAGTAAACTTAGAATCCTGCATTACTAGAGAACAGATGAGATTCATTTGTGAAAGCAATAATACTAATGCCCAAGATGTGTGTTTAGACAGTGAACAGAGTATTTGTCACTTTGAAGTTCATCCAGTCACTGACCAAAAACTGTGCTCATATATGCTAGAAAAGAGTGTGTGTGCCTGAGAACTGCTTGTGCTGCTGTAAAAATTGATAGCAATGATGTTATTTTGTCTAGTAGAAATCATTCTAATTTCTGTATTTGTAATTTGTTAAGACTATCAAGTGTAGTTTTTCGTACTTAGACCGAGTGACATCCCACCAGCTGATTGAAAGCAATTACACAATGAATCACAGACTATCACCTGTTCCTATTAGAATGGACCTTAGATTAGTAAAACAATTAATTAAACACCAAGACCTACTAAAGATCCTAAAGAAAAACTCAAAGAAGCAGAGAGAACTGTCCAATGTGATACAAAAAGAAATAGCTGGAATTCTGCAAAGAATAAAACAAAATGCAGATCATCACTGGTGAGATGTGGTCTTTAAGTAGTCACCAACTGCAAATAGAATCTTTAATAAGTTGTTTCATCTTACTGTAGTTTTGTTAAATTAGTTAGAATAAGTTTAAGATTATCCGTTATGAAACGTACATGGTAAAGTACTAAAGTACACTTGTTGTTCTTTTACTTTGTACAAATAAGAATTTGTACAAAGTAAAAGAATTTACTTCCCTCTTTTAGAAAAGGGGAGAATGAGGCAAAATGAAAATTTTCCGAGATAGAAATTCATTTTAATTTAGGTGAAATGTACATTTTTGAGTAAAGTCTGCATTTAGAAACCGTAGTTATTTAGCCAGACTGCAAGGCCTAAGCTCAGTGAAGTTACTTCAGTGAAGAACAGAGATAAAGCGGTGAAATGTACATTTTTGAGTAAAGTCTGCATTTAGAAACCGTAGTTATTTAGCCAGACTGCAAGGCCGAAGCTCAGTGAAGTTACTTCAGTGAAGGACAGAGATAAAGCAGGGGAGACAGAAGATGATAGAGAGAGACAGGGACTGCTGTAAGAGCAAGTCAACCTGATCTCGGAATTCTTTCTGATAAAAAGGAACTAGTGGCAAATGTCATGCAAAACCCATAAAAATGAATATGTACTATGAAACTGTATTGTGAAACTGTATGCATATGTATTTGAGAGAGAGATAAAAAGAGACCTGAAGTTCTCAGAGGTCCACATGCCTTTTTTGAGGAGAGCAATCTCTGCATGCATTCAGCGCTGTAAGAAACATACCAGCTTTAACACTTTCAAAAAGTTGTGGAGTACTTTTTCTTTTCTCCACGAAACAAATGTGTCCCTGCCCCCCCAATACTCAGTCCTTGCCCACGATGTGGTTATTGAGCACAGTCGCCTCCTCCTGGGGGGTCCTGTGGGGATAAGGGGGGTGCTGGTGGTGTCTGGGGAGGGGGAAAGGGGAGTCCCAGCCCGAGCCCCCCACTCACCTGTCCTGGAGCTTCCTGGTGGCAACAAGGAAAAGGGGAGGGGGTAACCGAGGGGACACTGGGACCCCTGAACCTTCCTGGGATCTCAGCAGCTCCAACCACCCACAGGACTCCCCAAATCCCCATTGCAACCCCGATTCCCAATGAACCCCTGATTCTTCTTGGACACTCTAAGCACTGCTGAAGCCCCCAGAAATTCTGCACCACCACAGGGCCCTAACCCCCTGGTGCCCCCAACCATCTTTGTCCCTGGAACCCCAAGCCTGGCAGGGAGGGGCACCCCCAAACTTCCCCAGGACCCAAAAAGGTCCTCCAACACCCCTGCACAGCCCTCCAGGAGCTCCCCAAACTCTCCAGGCACTCCCAGTGCCAACCCAATGTTCCTCAAAGCCCACCCAGCCATGACCCTGGACCACAACCAAGACCCTCCAAATTCCCCCCACATGCCCAAGACCTTCAGTCGAGGTCACTGCAGGCTCAGTGTCCACCAGCTCAGGGGCCCTGGGTGCTGCTGATCTCTGACTCCACTCTGGGATCCCCCCCTCAATCCAGGGCCCCCATTCCCCCATTGTTGCCCACCCCATGGTGCCACCAGTGACAGCCCCCAATGACAGCCAGGAGCAGGAGCAGGAGCAGGAGCAGGAGCAGGAACAGGAGGGTCCTGCCAACATTCACAGCCACTGCTGGGAATAGAGTGGGACACACTGAGGTGACCCTGAACCATGGGGTCAATAACACCCCGGTGACCCTGTGTGACCTCACCTGTGACCCAGGATGAGCCAGGTGTCACCTCCAGGGCCAGCTCAGGGCTGAGTGCCCAGAACACGCAGTGCCTGTCCTGTCCCAGCTGGTTGGTGGTGACACACTGGTAGGTGCCCAAATGTCCCACATCAATGTCCCTGAGCTCCAGGAGGGGACCCTGAGCCACCTCCTGCCCATTGTGCAGCCAGGTGAAGGTGACAGGGGCAGACCCCACCTGCACTGAGCAGCGCAGGGTCACATTGTCACCAACACACACCTGTTGTGACAGGGAACTGAGGCTGATGGTGGCATTGGCCACGGGCACTGTGGGGACACAGACAGGGCTGGCACCTGGTGAGGTGGTATGGGGGAGCCGTGGGTAGGGTCACCCCCAGCCCAAGGGTCCCACTCACCCCGGACAGTGACGTTCAGGGGGTCGCTCTCCTCCACGTTGTCCACATTGCTGACCCGGCACCAGTACTGGCCGCTGTCATTGTCCCCATTGTGGCGCAGCTCCAGGTGGGGGCCGGTGCCCAGCAGTGCCCCTGAGCCCTCCTGGTGCCAGGAGAAGGACAGGGAACCTGTCCCTGTGGCCACCGCGCAGCTCAGCACCAGGCTGTCCCCAAGTGCCACCTGTCCCCTGGGGGTTTGTGCCCACAGTGACACCCCTGAGGGCAGGACGCCTGTGGGATGAGGGGACAGCAGAGGACAGTGAGGGACCCGGGGCATTTCCAGAGGTGCAGCAGGGCCCCAATGTGGGAGAGAGGGCACAGATATGGGGAGTCTTGGAAACAGGGGAATAGGGGGTTCAGGAGGGGAGACACTGGAGAGGGAGTGGGGCAACACCAGAGAGGGTATAGGGACCCAGGGAGAGGATGGTGGGATCTGGGAATGAGCGGGGACCTCAGAGAGGGATGGGGGGGAGCAAAAAGGATTGAAGGGACCCAGTGAGGGATAGGGAGACATGGGTGAGGAATGGGGCACCTGGTGAGGGACCTGGGGCTGGGAGGGCAGGACATGGAAAAGGTGTCAGGGAAGGATGGGGGTATCCATGTAGGGCTGGGGGATCAGGGGAAAGACACGAGAAAGGAGGAGGGGAGGCAGGGACAGATCTGGGAAAGGTTAGGGCCACAGGGCAGGTGTCAGGGAGCGCTGGGAGTCCCCATGCAGTGCTGGGGCCCCAGGAGGCTGTGGGGGCTCCCTGTGTTCATCCCCACACTCACTGTGCACCATGACATGGAGCTGGGTGCTGCTCTTCTGCATGGCCCCCCCTCGGAGTGCACCTGGCAGCTGTACTTCCCCGAGTGGGAGACCCCCACGGTGGGCACCAGCAGCTGTGGGGACCCCTGCAGACCCCCCACCACCTGCCCGTCCTCGTAGAACGCATGCAGGAGGAAGGCTCGGGGCCTCAGGGGGCTGGGGGTGCTGAGACAGCTGAGAGTCAGGGGGGACCCCACGGTGGGCTTGGGGGGACCCTCCAGCACCTGTACCGAGAAGAGCTCTGGGAAGGAGAGGGGACGTGAGGACTGTGACTTTAAGTCTGCTGGGAAGTGCCTTTTGGGGTTGTCAGGAGATTGGAGTTCCAGCCGTGGGGGTGCTCACCGTGCACTGTCACTCTCACTGGCACTGACTGTGCCCACATTGACATTTCAGTGTCCACTTAGCCCCTGCAGGTGTAGTGGTCACGTTGGAGCAGCTGCGGAGGGGACAGGGACAGCTCGGCCCCATAGCTAGACCTTCCCACCTCCTTGTCCCCATGGTAGAATCGCACCTCTGTGAGTGGCATGTCCCGCCAGCGCCAGCAGCACAGTGTCACCATGTCTCCCTGCAGCAGTGCCCGTGCCAACACCTGCAGAACAAACCGGGCTGTGGGACACAGGGGTCTTGTCACACCGGGGGTCCTGTTTTCCTAAGGGCTCCCCCATTGGGTCACACCCAGGGCACCAGGGGTGTCCAATTCCAACACGGGGTTCTCCACACTGGGATGCTCTGGGATGTCCACAGAGCAGGGGACGGGCTTTGGTCACACAGGAGATTACCTATGGAATGGAGACCACCCAGAGCCCTTGGGGACCCTGTGAGTGCCAGGTTGGGGACACCCAAAACCCCTCACTGTCTGAGCCTGTCATGGGGGGGCTGCATCCAGTGCCAGATCTGTCACACCTGTGGGTGCCTTCCACGTTGACAGTGAAGTGGTCACGTTCCTCCTGCCAGAGGCATTGCTTGTCTTTGTACAAGGTAGCATCACCAGCTGTCCTTGAGCCCTGGCAGGTCAGTGTCACCGGTCCCAGAGCACCGTCGGCCTCCAGGGGGTCTCCATGAGGAACTGGGTGGTCTGGACACCTGCAGGTGACAGGGGACACCAGCCTGACAGGGCCAGAGTGGGGCTGGGGAAAGCAAGGTGGGGCCATGGCATCCCTCGAGGATTCACCAGCAAGGCCAAGGGTCTCGGCTGGAAGGGAGAAGGGACAGGGCTCAGTGGGGGTGGCACTGTGGGGACAGAGCCACCTGGGGCACAGGGCATGATGGCTTCCCCAAACGGTCCCCATGGAGACAGCAGCTACTGTAGGAAAGTGTGTGATGGTGGTCCCCAAAAGATATTTTTCAAAGCAGGGAGACATGTCTGTGTCACAGCCACCCATGCACCACGTCCATGTGGCACAGGCACCTTGGGACCATGCACACTGAAGCCACCCTGGGCTGAATCAGAACATGGGGACATTGTGGACACTGCGGGCATGAGAACACCATGGACACAGCCCATGCTGGCTCAGGTCATCCCCACCAGCTCATGATCCCATCCCCATGATCCCATCCCCATGGCCACATCCTCACTGTTCTTGTCCCCTTCTGTCCCCGCATCCCAGTTCCCTTGTCTCTATGCCCAGAGCTCCCTGAGCCCAAAGGTGCCAGTCCCCACATTCCTTTCCCCACCTTCATCCCCAAATTTCTGCCTCCCTGTTCTTGTCCTGAAAGCCACCCTACATCCCCAGTCCCATCAAGGTCTGCTGTGGTTAACATTGACTGGCACTGCTGGCATTGGTGACCTCAGGGGACCCCACAGCCCCTCTGTGCCCCCTCCCCTCCCCATCCCTGGGGTGTCAGGCTCATGCATGGGGCACTCACCCCACAGGAGCAGCGCCACCTTCCTGGCCATCCCCGTGTTTCCAGCCATGTGCACTGGCTGTCCCTTGCTGCCGGGGGTGGCTGTCCCCTGGGTGGTGGCTCTTTGTCCAAAGGGGAAGGAAGCGAGGTCAGATCTCGCCCTCATGGGTAGGTGGCACCTGGTGGGGGCAGGGTGGCCCCAAGCTGGGCCGAGGCTGCGGGCAGCGTGGGTACAGAGCGGGGACAAGATTGGATGGAACACAGTGGGACATGGGGTTCCCAGGAGTGGGGGGCTCAGAGAGTTTTGGGAGCCAGGGCTGTGTGTCCAGGGGAATGGGGGGTCCCAGTAATGGGGGCCCTGGGAATGGGGATCCTGAAGAGGGGGAATCACCACGTACAATGGGTGCCATTGGAAACAGGGTCCCCAATGCTGGGGGGACTGTGAGATGGGAGTCCCAGGGGAATGTGGGCTCCAGGGATTTGGGGTCATGGGATGGGGATGCTGGGGGAATGAGGGGTTCCGTAGGAATTGGGGTCCTTGGAGAATCAAGGTCCTGGGGAAAGGAGGATTTCAGGGGATGAAATGAATAGCAGAGGGTTCCTTGGGAATGGGATACTGGGCCATGGAGATCCTGGGGAATGTAAATATTGAGATAGAGGTCCCATACAATGTGGAACATATAGAAATGGCAATCCCATGATCTGATTTCCACGGGAATGGAAGTCCTAGGGATGGGCAGTGGCTGAGTGGACCCATGGGTCTCAGCTTCTTCCCTGGGTGCCTCAGATTTTTGGGAGACTCTAGGCCCAGCACAGCGTCCACAAGGTGCCGGCAGTCAGGGCATCACCCCAGACAGATTCCAAGAGGCTCTGAGTCTGTGGAACTGCTTCAGAGGTGAGAATTCTGTGGGGGAAAAAGGCCTGTCTGTGGTTTGCTCAACCCTGCAAGAAACACAAAATCCAAAGGGAGCTCAAGCAGCGGCTCTGTGAGGGCCTCTGATGGTTTTCAGAGCAGGCCTGGCTGGAAAAACCCCTGCAGGGGCAGCTGCGGTGAACCAGTCCAGAAATGCAGCAATTTATCATTTTCTCCCTTTGAGCAAGGTTCTGAGAGAGCCCCAAATATCCTTCAAAGACAACAACAATCTGTTCAAAAACCTGATCAGGTCCATCGTCTTTCCTGTCTCAAACCTGCAGCCCTTTCTAACAGTCTGAGAAGACTCTTTGCGTTCTGACCATGGCTGCTAGACATGAGGGAACAGTGTAGAAATATCGAACAGGGGCTCACCCACAGCCATGGTGGGGCTGTGGGGAGTGACCGTGTGGATTCCAGGTGTGCCCAAAGCTGCTCCATCCCTGCCCTCCTCACCTCAGTAAAAGGCTGAGGGTTTGCAGGAATTGTGGTGTAAAGCCACCAGAGGTGCTGCTGTGGACCCGAGACCTGCCTGGGGTCAGGCGCTGCCTTCCTTCCTCTTATTCGGGATCATGGAGAGCGCTCGCAGGTGTTGCGCAGGGTGTGTGCCTGGCCCTGGGACACTGCTATGCTGCCAGTGGGCACTGGGATCCAACCTGCTGCCTTGGCGGCTTCTGCCCGCTGCCAGAGGTGGTGCAGTGACTGGTTGGTGGCCGTGAGTTTGCAAAAGGAGCAATTTCCCCTCCTCCCTCCCGTCCGAGGCCACCATGGCCCCTGAGGGGATGGAGCTGGAGCGGGGCACCCCCTGCTGGGCGGGAGTGCTCCCTGCAGCGCCCCCTGCTGGCCACGGTTATAACTGCCACAAAAACCAACAGTGCTGAGCAGGAGCGAAAGTTCTGGGTTTGTGTTGTTTGTTCTGTTTTGGTTTATAAATTTCCAAGAAAAGAGCTTTTATTCCTTTTTCTAAACTTTGGTCTGGAAGCCCCATCATTTTCAAAATTAATAAAAGTTTTAGGCATGCGTTTTCTTTCCATTCTAGGAATATTGCCACTTTCCTTGGGAGATATTTCTCATTTAAATGAGTTGCCAGCTCCCACATTCCAGCGTGGATGAGACCGACATACCAAGAAAGAAAGGGCCAGGGACTTGACCACCTCATGCTCTGCCTTTTAAGCCAGTTGGGCCACCAAGGGCCCTCTTCCCAGATGGCACTTCTGGTAACCCAGCTGCTCAGGCGCTGGCTTTGGCAGAGCGTCACATTGTCCGTGTGTTCCATGGCTGACAGACTGATGCATAGACGGGCCCCTATCTCACCAGAAGCAAAGCCGACCCATCCCTGCCACACACAGCTGTTCCAAAATATCTCCAGACATCAAACTTCTCTTGTTTTTGACATCCCACCCTGTGCCATGGCAGGATCCCATCCTGCTCTGAAGAATGGGGAGGCTCTGGAACACCCACAGGGCATTTGTGACACCCTCGTGTGGGGAACAGGGAAGAGGAATAATTTGGGACATGGCTCAAGAGAATCCAGAGCCTCCTGAAGGCTGCTTTGGCCATCAGATCAAGGAAGTTCCAAGACTTTGACAGGTTCCTCTGGTGGAGGAATTGAGCAAAGGAGAGTGTCCAGGGTTTGTTCCTCTTGGGGGCTTTCCCAGGAAATTGATCTGAACCTTTTTGCTGTTGCTTTTGATTTTATTCTCTCTCATTGCTGTTTCAGGAAATTGTTCTTCTCTCAGCCCTTTGGGATCTTTGTGCCTCCACAGGGAGGGGCAGTTGTTAGTGGCAGCACTCACACAAGTGGGTGCTCATGGGTGGGGACACCCAGTGCACCCCAGTTGTTGCCAGTGTCACAGCACAACCTCATTGATGTCACTGGGATTTCTTGGTCGCCTGCGTGGTCCCCGCAGCTCTACGTAAGCCACCAAGGGTTACTGGTGGTTGGTGACGCCTGGGGGCCCTGCAGGACACAATGGTTGGAGGGACCAAGGCGGGAGGAGTGACACCAGTGGGTGATGTGTCACTGTCGCCCCAATCCACGTTACTCACGCTGCGCCTGCTGGGTGCTCACAACATGGGTGTACAGCACCTCCCCCTCCTCTGGGGGGGCCAGGGGACCCGGGGGAGGCCTGTGGGGATAAAGACCATGTGTGGGAGGCAATGGAGACTTGTGACATGCGGGAAAAAGGGGACTCATGGTTGAAGACCCCACTAACCTTTCCTGCTGCTTCCTGACAGCTGCAAAGGAAAGACGGAAGGGGTGACTGTGGGGTCCCAGGGCCCTGCCCCCTCTCAGGATTCCTGAACCCCTATGGGACCCTCAATTCCTCTCAGGAACCCCAAGCATCCCTGAAGGCCCCCAGAATTCATGAGCTTCCCCAGTGCCCTGGGCCAACTCAGCCTCAGGAACTCAAAGCCCAGCAGGGACAGAGACACTCCAAACACCCCCAGGGCCCCTGAAATAACCCCCAAAATCCCTGCAGAACCCTCCAGCACCTCCCCAAATCCTTCAGGACCCCTAGGCAAGGTGACAGTTCTGGGGCTATGGGTGCTGCCCTATCGGGCCCACACTCTGGGGCCCTCTACAGCTCCCTGGGGCCCCCTGTCCCCATTGTCACCCACCCACATGGTGCCACTGGTGCCAGGCCACAATGGCACCCACGAGCAGGAGCAGGAAGAAAAGGGCCCAACCGACACCTGCAGCCACTGCAAGAAACAGGGGGGCACACATCAGGATCATCCATCACCCAGAGGTCCTGCAATCCTGAATGACTCTCTATGACCTCACCTGTGTCCCTGTGTCCCCACGGTGTCACCAACAGGGACAGCTCGGGACTGAGTGCCTGGAACACACGGTGTCCGTCCTCTCCCAGCTGGTTGGTGGCCATGCACTGGTAGGTGCCTGAATGTTCAACCCTGACGGCCCTGAGCTCCAGGAGGGCATGCTGGGCCACCTCCTGCCCATTGTGCAGCCAGGTGAAGGTGACAGGGACTGAGCCAACCTGCACTGAGCAGCGCAGGGTCACGGTGTCACCTGCACGCACCTGGTGTGACAGGGTACCAAGGGTGATGGTGGCATTGGCCACGGGTACTGCAGGGACAGAGACAGGGCTGAGGCCACAGGGAGTGGCTGGCAGCTGGTGTCGGGGGGTAGGGACAAGGGGGTGGGTGTGATGGGGGATGTTGAGGATGGGGTCACACCCCACAGGGATGAGGGGACACAGGGCAGAGGTGGAGAGACACAAGAAAGGTGTCTTGGGGACATGGAGGTACCCAGGCAGGAGACCCGAGGAGGCTGTGGGGCGTCCCTGTGCCCATCCCCACACTCACTGTGCACCGTGATGTGGAGCCGAGCGCTGCTCTTCCGCATGCCCATCCCCTCGGAGCACACCTGGCAGCTGTAATTCCCATAGTGGGAGACCCCCATGGCGGGCACCAGCAGCTGCGGGGACCCCTGCGGGCCTCTCACCATCTGCCCATCCTGGTAGAACATGCGCAGGAGGAGGGCTTGGGGCCGCAGGGGGCTGGGGGTGCTGAGGCAGCAGAGAGTCAGGGGGACCCCGGGATGGGCTTGGGGGGACCCTCCAGCACTGGTATCCAGACAAGCTCAGGGGAGGAGATGGGGGACTGTGGGAACTGTGACCCCGAGTCCCTGGCGAGGGGCTGTGGTGCTGTTGGGTTAGCAGATGTGAGGTGCTCACCATGCACTGTCACTGTCACCAGCGCTGACTCCTCCCATCCCTTTGATACCCAGGCCTTGCAGCGGTAGTGGCCTCTGTGGTCCAGCTGCAGAGGGGACAGGGACAGCTCAGTCCCATTGGAGAGACCCCCCAGTTCTGTCTCCTCACGGTAGAAGAACACCTTATCAACCGACTTCTCCTGCCTGTACCGGCAGCGCAGTGTCAGCGTTTCCCCCTCCAGCAGTGCCCGTGCTGGCACCTGCAGCACCAGCTGGTCTGTGGGGCAGAGGGGTGCCGTCACATTACGGGGGTCTAGAGGGTCCTGATGTCACTGGGACCCCCATACTGGGTCACAGCCAGCACACCAGGTTTTCCCAATTTCAACACAAGGGTCCCACAGCACTGGGATACTCTGGTATGTCCCTGTGTGTAGGACATGGGCTCTGATCACACCAGAGGGTGACCCATGGAGTGGAGCCCACCAGAGTCCTCAGGATTCTTGTGGGTGCCAGGCTGAGGAGACAAACCACCCTCACCATCTGAGACAAACCACCCTCACCGTCAGAGACGTTCACGGGGCAGCTGAGCCCAGTGCCGGGTCTTTCACACATGTAGGTGCCACTCTCAGTGACAGTGAAGTTGTTGCTTCCCTCCTGCCCCCAGCGCTGCCCATCCTTGTACCAGATGGTGGCACCAGCAGTCCCCAAGCCCTGGCAGGTCAGTGTCACCCGGTCCCACAGCACCGCTGGCCTCCAGGGGGGCTCCACGACAAGCTGGGTGGTCTGAGCACCTGCAGGTGACAGGGGACACCAGCCTGCCAGGGTCAGAGTGGGACTGGGGAGAGTGGGGTGGGGCCATGGCATCCCCCGAGGACTCACCAGCGAGGCCGAGGGTCTGGGCTGGAAGGGAAAAGGGACAGGGCTGGCTGAGGGTCATGGGGACACTGTGGACATCCTATTGTTTGCACTGGCCCCCTCCACCAGCTCTACAGTACCTGTCCCCATGGCCACAACCCCATGGCCCTGTACCCATGATCCCATTCCAATGGCACCTGTTGTCCTGGCCCATCTCCATGCTACGTGGCCCTTGTCCCTGTCCCTGCATCCCTGTTCCCTTGTCCCTGTCCCCACAGCTACCCAAGCCCCAAGGCTCTTCTGCTACATCCCTGCCCCAAAATCTCTATGTCCCTGTTCCTGTCTCCATCACGAGTTCCCCTCTTTCTGTCCCTAAAGCCATCCCACAATTCTGGTCACACTGGGCTCCATGCCCTGCTCTGGCTCTGCTGGCATTGGAGACCTCAGGGGACCCTGCCGCCCCCCTGTGACCCCTCCCCTCTCCATCTCTGGGCCCGTGCCTGGAGCACTCACCCCACAGGAGCAGCGCCACATTCCCGGCCATCCCCATGTCCTCAGCCATGTGCACTGGCTGTCACTCGCTGCTGTGGCCACCGCTCCCCTGGCTGGCGGCTCTTCGGATGAAGGGGAAGGAAGCGAGGTCACGTCTGTCCCCATGTGTAGGTGGCCCTTGGTGGGGGCAGGGTGGGGACAGGATGGGGGCAGGGTGGGGAACTTGTGGGACATGGGGGGATGGTGGGACATGGTGGGGTCATGGTGTTGCCAGAATTTGGGGTCTGAGGCCATGCAGGGAGACAGGGATTGGTGTTCAGGGGAATGGGATGCCCAGGTATTTGGGGTCCCAGGGAAATGGGGGTACCAGGGTTTGGGTGGACTCAGACTTGGGGATGAGGGTCCCAAAACAACGTGGACTCCTGGGATTTGTAATCATGAGATAGGGGCCATGGCATGGAGGTGCCAGGGAAAAAGGGGTCCCTGTGAGATTGGGGGCCCTGGGTGAATGAAGGCCCCCAAGGGAAGGGGTGTCCCATAGTCTGGAATTACTGGGAAGGTGTTCCTTGGGGTTGGAGACCCTGGGGAACTGCAGTCCAGGAATGGGGGTCTCAGGGAAGGTGGGACAGAAGGAAATGGGGTCCCAAGATTAAAGTTCCCAGAGGAATGGGGGTGTCACGGATGGGCAGTGGCTGAGGGGACAGAGGGGTCACAGCTCCTTCCCTGAGTGCCTCAGATTTTGGGGTGACACGGGGCCCCACAAAATCACTTCTGGGGTGCTCATTTCCTGGCCAGGCATTGCATGGGGATCCTGAGTATCTCTGCTTCTGTGTCCTCCCCTGCCCTTTACATTTTCCTCTCTTTATTTCTCTTTTTTCCTTATTCTCCTTCCTTTTTGCCACATCACCTCACCCCCAGTTCCTGGCTCAGCAATCCTGGGGTGCATCTGAGCAGGGAAGGGGTTGGGGGGACCCAGGGGAGGGGGAAAATGGGGAATGGTGGGTGCAGGAAAGGGTGGGGAGGCTGTGGGGGATGAAGATGTAAGACTGTGCTCTCTTAACACTTTCACTTTGTTTGTCCTGGACAAGAAGGAAGAGGCTGTTTATGCTGAGACTCAGGTGGGAAAATGGGGGTGATTCTCTCCTGGGGGGCACATCCGGGGGTGGGTCCTGGGAGGATCCTGTCCCAGGGGGTGACACATCCTGGCATGGGGGGTGTCCTGTCCCAGGTGTGGCAGTTCCAGAAATGTCCCTGCACATTCCTGGCCGGGTGCCTGTCCCAGGGGTGGCACATCCTGAAGACCCCTGTCAATGCAAGGGTAGGGCCCAGCCATGGCCCAGCCCCACTGCACAGGGATGGCCATTGCCCAGCCCTGCTCTGCCCAGCCCCAGGTGGCAGCCAGCACATGAGGGTCCCCCCTGCCCCCTTGGCTTTGATTCTGGCAGCTTTAGAGCTGCTGCAGAGGTGACAATTCTGTGGGGGAAAAAGGCCTGCCTGTGGTTTGCTCAGCCCTGCAAGAAGCACAAAACCCAAAGGGAGCCCAAGCAGTAGCTCTGCAAGGGCCTTTGATGGTTTTCAGAGCAGGGCTGGCTGGAAACCTCCCTGCAGGGGCAGCTGTGGGGAAACCAGCCTGGAAATGAAGCAATTGATCATTTTGTCCCTTTGCGCAAGGGACTGAGAGAACCCAAGAACTACTGCAAAGACAACAACAATTGGCCTCCCTTTGTGTTTTGTGTTTCTTTCAGGGCTGAGCAAACCACAGCAAGGCCTTTTTCCCCCACAGAATTCTCACCTCTGCAGCAGCTCTAAAGCTGCCAGAATCAAAGCCAAGGGGGCAGGGAGGGACCCTCAGGTCCTGGCTGCCACCTGGGGCTGGCCAGAGCAGGACTGGGCCATGGCTGGGCCCCACCCTTGCATTGACAGGGGTCCCCAGGTTGTGCCACCCCTGGGACAGGCACCAGGCCAGGAATGTGCAGGGATGTTTCCACAACTGCCACACCCAGGATGGGACCCCCATACCAGGATGTGTCACACCCTGGTGAAGGATCCCCCCAGGACAGGACCCCCCAGGATGTGCCACGCCAGGACACAAGCCCCCATTTTCCCATCTGAGTCTCAGCACAAACAGCCTCTTCCTTCTTGTCTAGGAAAAAGAAAGTTTTGAGGGGGCACAGCCCAACACCTCCATCCCCCACAGCCTCCCTACCCTTCCCTGCACCCCCCACTCTCCTGGCTCCCCCAACCCATTCCCTGCTCAGGTGCTCCCCAGGATTGCTGAGCCAGGAACTGGGGGTGAGGGGACATGGTACAAAAGTGAGGACAATAAGGAAATAAGAGAAATAAAGAGAGGAAAATGTCAAGGGCAGGGAAGGACACAGAAGCAGAGCTACCCAGGACCCACATGTGATGTCTGCGCTGGAAAGGAACACCCCAGGGGTCAGTGCTGGGCCCCGTGTCATCCCAAAATCTGAGGCACCCAGGGAAGGAGCTGAGATCCCTGTGCCAATCCAGAAATTGCTCATCCCTGGCAACCCCCTTCCCCTGGAAACCAACCATGGGAGCCCCATTCCTTAAGTCCCATCTTGCCTGGGACCCCTATCCCAGTACGGACATTCCCCAGGATCTCCATGGCCCAGGATAACATTCCAAAGGAACCATCTCCACTTCTTTCCATTCCCTGAAATCCTCTTTCCCCCAGGACCTTGGGGAAGGTCCCATACCAGGCCCCCATTCCCACGGGACTCTCATTCCGCCAGTGTCCCCATCCCATGGCCCCAAATCCCTGGATCCCACGTTCCCCCAGGACTCCCCTTCCTGAGTCCTCCCAGTTCTAGGAACCCCCATTCCCTTACCCCCCCCACCCCCATTGATTCCCCCTCCTCAGGACCCCCATTCCCCTGGACACTCATCCCCATGTCCCCAAACCCACCAAGCCCCCCACACCTGGGAACCCATATTGCACCTTGTCCCACCCAGCCTTGTCCCCAGCCTGTCCCCAGCTTGTGGCCACCCTGCCCCCACCAAGGGCCACCTACACATGGGGACGGACGTGACCTCGCTTCCTTCCCCTTCATCCGAAGAGCCTCCAGCCAGGGGAGCGGTGGCCACAGCAGTGAGTGACAGCCAGTGCACATGGCTGGGGACACGGGGATGGCCGGGAATGTGGTGCTGCTCCTGTGGGGTGAGCGCCCCGGCCATGGGCTTGACTCCCCTGGGATGGGGAGGGGAGGGGGCACAGAGGGGCTGTGGGGTCCCCTGAGGTCACCAATGCCAGCAGGGTATGGAGGCAGTGTGATCAGAGTTGTGGTGTGTCTTTGGGGACAGGAACACAGGACATGAACAGGGGAACTCGGATGTGGGGACAGGGGGATGCAATGTGGGGATAAGGATGTGGCAGAAGGAACCTTGGGGCTGGGGCAGCTGTGGGACCTGGGACACAGGGATGCAGGGACAGGGACAACATGACCGGCAACATGTGTTTGGGCCATGGAGACAGGTGCCATCAGAAATAGAAAATGGGCACAGGGCCATGGGGATGTGGCCATGGGGCTGGCAGGGGTGAGCTGTGCCAGCAAGGGGCCCCATGCCTGAGCATGGGTGGCTGCGGTGTGCCTGTCCTTGAGACATCTGTGCCACACCAGTACCCCCACAGAGCCTGTTTGGGAACAGCCCCTAAACCCCATGCCTCTGTGCCTCTGTCCCTGCAGTGCCACCCCCATCCAGCCCTCTCCCTCCTCCCTTCCAGCCCAGACACTTGGCCTTTCTGGTGAGTCCTCGGGGGATGCCATGGCCCCACCTCGCTGTCCCCAGCCCCACACTGGCCCTTACAGGCTGGTGTCCCCTGTCACCCTCAGGTGCCCAGACCACCCAGCTCTACATGGAGCCGCCCTGGAGGCTGGCGGTGCTGTGGGACCGGATGACACTGACCTGCCAGGGCTTGGGGACTGCTGGTGCCACCATCTGGTACGATGATGGGCAGAACTGGCGGCAGGAGAGACGCAACCACTTCACTATCACTGAGACTGGTACCTACACATGTGACAGACCTGACACTGGGCTCAGTTCCACTGTGAGAGTCTCAGATGGTGAGGGGGACTTGGGTGTCCCAAGTCTGGCACCCACAGGGATCCCGAGGGCTCTGCGTGGTCTGTGCTCCATGGGTCACCTCCTGTGCGACCTGAGCCTGTCCCCTGCTCTGGGGACATCTCAGAGCATCCCAGTGTAGAGGGACCCCCATGTTTGAATTGGGCACCCCTGGTGCCCTGGGTGTGACCAAATGGGGGATCCCGGTGTCATTGGGTGTGACAGGGCCCCTCTGTCCCCCAAACTCGCTGGTGCTGCACAGGCCAGCATGGGCACTGCTGGAGGGGAACAAGGTGACACTGCACTGCTGGGGCTGGTGGAACTGCATGGTCACCTCAGTGTCCTTCTACCTCAAGGGGAAGAAACTGGGAGGGCTCCGTGATAGTACCAAGCTATCCTTGACCCCTCTGGAGCTGAGCCAAAGCGGCAACTACAGCTACAGGAGCTGGGTGGGATCCTGGGGGCAGCAGGAGTCACCACGGGTGACAGTGACAGTACAAGGTGAGCATCCCAGAGCATCCCAGTGTGGGGGAACCTGTGTTGAAATTGGGGACCCCTTGTACACTGAGTGTGACCCAATGGGGGGATCCCCATGAAAATGGGACCCTAGAGTGACAGGACCCCCCTGTCCCGCAGCCTGGTTAGAGTTGCAGGTATCAGCATGGGAGCTGCTGGAGGGGGACATGGTGACACTGCGATGCTGACACTGGCAGGACATACCAGTCACCAAGGTGCAATTCTACCATGGGGACAAGGAGATGGAAGGGTCCCGTAGCAGGACCGAGCTGTTGTTTTCCCCTCTGCAGCTGAAACACAGTGGAAACTACAGCTGCAGGGGCTTGGTGGATGCTGAAGTGTCACCGTGGGCACAGTCATCGCCAGTGACAGTGACAGTGCACGGTGAGCATGCCCATGGTTGGAACTCCATGATCCTGACACCCCCAAAGCCCCTTCCCAGCACACTCAGAG